TATTTAGATATAGATAGATATGCTGATGAAGATTCTCAGTCATCCAGGTCATAGTCATTCCGTAAAAGTTTAATTGGATTGTTTTTTAAACTTTTACGGAATATAGATAGATATATATCCGTCTGTCTATATATATATATATATATAGTGATTACATTTGGCGTCTACTTAATCATATTCTGTTACTCTGACACAATTTTTTCATCTTAGCATGGAAGGATATACTCTAATTGTGTTGAAATAACCAATTATGAGTCAAAAAGGGTTGCATTGTTTTTTTTTTTTGGTAATGCCCTAACTTTACTATTTAATATTTGAACACCATAATATGGAAGATTCGTCATGAGCATCTCTCTTAAGGTGACCCAACTGATTTCCTATCAGGTTTAGGTAATACCTCTGAGTTGTTTTAAAATTTAAGTTTATTTTAAGTGATTATCCTTTTACAGACATGCGTGGACTCACAGTGATGGGGAAACCAAAACAAGTCATAGTCATTCCAAAAAAGTAAAAAAAAAACAATCCATTGGACTTTGTTTCCAAGTTTTGAAGATGTTTCTCTTCCCATCCAGGAAGCTTTTTCAATTCAAAATGTCAGAAATAATGTCGAGTTCAAAGCTTAATATAGCAGCCCAAAAACGTTTTGGCTTAGAAAACATGCAGACTGAACCGAAAGAACGGGGAGTCGTTTGGGATCGTTGTTAGCCAGCAATACCCGATACTGGGCTATGCCTCTGAAAGGGGGGACCTCAGGGGCAATTGTTGGCCTGATGTTTTGGCCCCTGCATGGGGGTGGGGGGGTTGAAATGATAGCGGGAATGAATCAACTCTATCGCTGCATTGTAGGCTTTTGAGAGCTGGAACCTGAGTCCACCCCCTCTGTTTAAGGATGTTTTTTTTCTTTCTTAACATAAATGTCTTTAGGCAACTATATAAAGCTTTGAACTCAACACTATTTCTGATATTTTGAATTGAAAAAGCTTTCTGAATGGGAAACGAAATGTCTTCAAACCAAGTCCAATGGATTATCTATCTATCTATCTATCTATCTATCTATCTATCTATCTATCTATCTATCTATCTATCTATCTATCTATCTAT